CAGGGCGGCGAGGGGGCCTTCTCTCTCGCCCGGCCCCGCACGTGGCGCTGGCGGCGAGGGGGCGCGACCGGTGAGGCGAGCTTCGCTTTCGGGAGCGCTGCGGCTCGAGATGGCTCGCCCAAAAGGCCGGGTCTTCCTTCTGGGAGAGCGCGGCGAGGAGTGCTACTCGGGTGGGAGGGAGAAAGGAGGCGAGGGAAGAAGGTCCTGTGCGTGCTTTTTGCAGTGGAAATCTGCGCTTGCCTCAGCGTCTGAGGGCTTGGCGTCTCCTCCCGTCGAAGGCGCACGCTCTTGCTGCCCCCTTTGGCGAAGAAAAGCCGGTCCGGGGGAAGTCCTTCCCGGCCAGGAGCTCTCCTGCAAGGGCTTGTCGGATTTGGAGGCAGATATTTTTTTGGGTCACAACTTCCAAAAGGCCCAGCCAAGACAAGCTGTATTCAGGACTTCTGGGAACTGTACTTTGAATAATCTGGGTGTGTGAGATAAATGTGGGGCCCGCTGAACTAGTGGCGGACAACACACTGAGCTGAAAAGCCCCCCTCAAGTTTCAGACTAGGTACGAACTTTCACGGGGAAAAGGCTTACATGGAAGCAGCGAGGTCTCTGTTTCAGGCCCCTCTGGTGGTAATAACTGCTAATAACGTTTGCGCAGTGTTTTCTGTGCGATTCACATCGGTGGTTTTCTTATAAAATTGCTTAGCGCAACCCTTATTGACAATAATACCTATCGGGGAGGTAGGATGGGAGAAGTGCTGAGGCTGGTAGGGTGGATTAAGCAGTTATCTGGGATTCTCCCCATTCATCATTAAGACTGCATTCACAAAGGTCTTCTGAACTACATAACCCAACAGAAGGGAGGAGAAACAGCATGAAATTCCCAGTTCTTGTAAAGCATATCCGGCAAGGGTGAAAAGGTTTGTGATACTTTTCAGACCAAAATTTTTTTTAACTGGCATGAACTATTAACGGGCACAACTTGCTTCTTCAGATGCATGGAGTACAATATTCAGGCCAGACTGGATCATGGTATGAGGATGGAATACAGTATTGAAATGAGGTACAGAAGATGATGTTTCTATTATTAAAACAGGAATGTGCCGTCAAGTTGATTCCAACTTACAACGGTCCTCCCAGGTTCTTCTAGATACAAAGTGCTCGGAAGGGATTTATCACTCTTTCCTTCTGGCGGCACTCTGGGACAAAGGTGCCAGGACACGTAATTCCATCAGCCACGCATGTTCTGGGTGGTTGGGGCCCTTTGCTCAGCTGACACAGCCTGAAGCCTCAGCCCCAGTTCATCAGCCAGGTGCTCCAACCCACTAAGCTATATCAGTGCTCATTATTAAGACAGATCATCAGCTTTCAAAGGGCTGGTTCATATAAACATCCAGGCAATAGTAAGGTCAATAATATAAGTAATCAACATCTGAGGTACGGAAGCATTACTTCAACTCTGAAGTAGTTAAAACTAGTTTAAGGATGTGGTTTAGTGCTGAACTTTTTAACACCTCGGAGGGATAAATGACTTGTGTAACTGACCTTTCTCACCCGCACAGCCATTGTGTGTATAAACACCTATGGTTTGAATATTGTACTCCATGCATGTGTAGAAGTGAACTATGGCCCAGAAAAGCTCATGTGAAATAGAATTTGTTATTCTTAAATGAGCCACAAGACTCTTTGCTGCTTTTGGTGCAACAGATTAACACAGCTACCTCCTCAGACATACTGTATTTGATAAGGCTTATGTTTTATATGTGCTGAATAAAGTTTGACATAGGGTGTGATCAGACAGTAATAAAGGATAGAGCCTGACTGCACCGGAAAGAGTTGTTTCACTGAGAGCCGACTCACTTAAATTGACCCTTCTGTACATACAGAAATCTCACCAACCTGCCCCCCCCTCAAAAAAAAAGAGTAGCTCTGCCCCAGGACCTCAAAGGTCTGACTGGTTTGCAATCACCCGTACATCAGATGATTGCCCAAAATGGACCTTGCCATAGGTGATTCAAAACATGTCTTATCTGATCATAGCCATAGTGACTAAATAATCTGGACATGTTTCTACTGTTTTATTCTGTATCCTGTATCCACTTAACTGGCAGAAAGAGACTTTCAGATCAGTGGGGGCTTAACTTTTCACTCAACACATCATATGTATAGATTGCACTGTCAATATATTTGTTTTGAACAACTGCCAATTATTAATGTTTGTGCTTCCTTAAAATTTAGAAGTAAGTTTAAAGAGTCATTTCCCCAACTGTTAGTTTTCCTCTTGCAAACAATTTGTATGTCTTCTCAGATACAGGCCCCGCTGAGTATATACAGGGAAGTGTGTAGATGTTTATAGTCTTAGGTGTGTTGTCATTTAGTATTCAGTTTCTAGAAAGAGGAGGGCCATTAGCAAGTCTTAAGTATAGAATTATTCTCAGGCAATGCTACCATATAAGTCTGTAAGAGAGGAGATGGTTCCCCAGAGGGTACTTTGCCCACAACATCCTCAAAGTTGAAACGGTCTAGAGCAGTGGTTCTCAACCTTGGGTCCCCAAATATTTTTGAAACTACAACAACCACCAGAAATCCTGGCCAGGATAGGTGGCACTGAAGGTTTCTGGGAGTTTTAGTCTAGGAACATCAGCGAATGCAAACTTGGGAACCACTAGTCTAAACTCTAAAGGAATGATGGAAGCATGGTGGTTTATGAGTTGACCAAACCCGTTTCAAGCATTTGGAATACCATTTCTTTGCAGGTTTGGGGCAGACAACACAACATGTTATATCCAAACATGTATTGAAATTAGTGTGGTTTGGTGTTTCAGAATAAAAAAGCAGCATCAAGAGACTGCAGTTTTGAGCAAATCAAGCACAGAGTGCTTAACTATTTCCCTCCTTGCAATCCCCCCCATTCTTCCCCAAAAACTTACTTCTGAGGCTCTTTGCCCTTTTTGGAGACAGGGACAATATTAGCCTTCTTCCAGTCTTCCAGTACTTCATCCATCCTCTGTGATTTCATGAAAATAATAGTAGTTTTGAGAGTTCTTCAGCAGTTCCTTGGATGCAGTTCATCAGACCCTGGAGATCTGAACCCATTCAAATTAATAAAGTATTTTTCCCTGACTATTTTTTTTCTCAATCTCAAACTGTAATCCTGTCTCTTCCATTTGTACTTCACATTTGCCTAGAGGGTCATAGACTATATTTGGAGAATAGACTGAGCTAAAGTAGGAATTGAGGCACTTCTTTCTTTTCTTTGTTGTCTGTTATCATTTTGCCATCCCCACTGTCTGTACCTGTACCTTTGTGGCCTGGCCTTCATTCCACTTCCTATACTGTATGTGTCCTTTTTTCTCTCTTGAACTTTTTGTGAAGCCACATTGGTCTTTTTTCCTGTCTTCCACTTTTTTCCTTCTTGGAACTGTTTGTAGCTCTGCTACAGTAATCTCCCACCCATCTTGGACTCCTTAAGATCATTCCTATTTACTGCCACTTCATCCACCAAGTCATCTCCTTTACTGCCACTTCATCCACCGAGTCATCTCTATCGGTTAGAATCAAGTCAAGGGTAGTTAATTGTCTGGTTTCTTCCTCCACTTTTAGTAAGAGAAAACTATCAGCAGCACAAAGCTAAGAATTTCTTGGAAGGGCCATATTTGGCAGAATTTGCTTCTCAACAGATATCAGGATAAGTATCCTATTATTACTGCATTGTGTCTCTTTAAAATTCTTGCAATTTGTTTTTCAAAGATTTTATCTGTATCTTCTCGTCTATTGAACAGTTGGTAATAGATTCCAACTGCTATGTTGCTTTTGTTTTTCACTCCAGTTATATTAATCCAGATGCTCTCAATGGGACTACCAAGCTCATCTTCCTGTATTTCTGAGCAGGAATATGTGTTATTGACATATAGTATGACTCTACCTCACTTTCTATTCTTTCTGTTCTTTTTGAACAATCCTTCAATCGCTATATACCAGTCATGGGAATCATCCCACCGTGTGTTCAGTTCTCTGTATCAAGTATATTTACTCTTCTGAACTAAGATTTCTAGTTCTTTTTGTTTATTTTCCATATTGCTGGCATTTATATATAGACACTGAATATTGTATGATTTATTGCCTGCTTTTCTTTGTACATTTTTGTAAAGACCATTATTGGGCCCCATTAGAGCTGCTTCATCTGTTCCTCTTATTGTGCATAAGCCTTCATCTGTTTTTACCTTTGAGTTTGCATTTCCCCTTTCCAATTGAAGTTAATATCCCCCTGGTGAAATTCTTCATGCTGTGGCCAAATAAATTCTTCTCAGTCCTCGTGTGGTACAACCCATCCCTTGCCGGCAGTCCCATCTTCCAGGAAGCATAGCCCAAGGTCTCAAAATCCAAACCTCTCATGTTGGCACCACTTTCATAGTCAGCCATTCACCTGGAGTATTTCCCTTTCAATTCCTCTTCTCTGAGTATCCCCTGGTGGAATTCTTCATGCTGTGGCCAAATAAATTCTTCTCAGTCCTCGTGTGGTACAACCCATCCCTTGCCGGCAGTCCCATCTTCCAGGAAGCATAGCCCAAGGTCTCAAAATCCAAACCTCTCATGTTGGCACCACTTTCATAGTCAGCCATTCACCTGGAGTATTTCCCTTTCAATTCCTCTTCTCTGAGTACTGGTAGGACGGACGGGAAGACTATCTGGGCTCCAAAGTCCTTGAATTTCCTTCTCAGAGCTTCAAAGTCTAATGTGATTTCTTTGTAGTTCCTCTTGGCTGTGTCATTTGTTCCCCGTGGATGAGAAGAAAGGGATATGCATCCGTGGGTTTTATGAGTAATGGCAATCCTTCTGTCACATCCCTAACCCATCCTCTAGGGAGATAGCCTACCTGGCAAATCCATGCCTCTTCAGTTTCAGTCCCACGCAGCAGGGAGCCTTCTGTTTACAACTACTCATCTCTTATTTTGGTAGGGTGTGAGTTCAGTGATTCTGCTCGGCTGAGCTTCAGCCTCTCCCATGTCTTCCAACTACACACAATTGCTTACGTATATATTTTCAGATATTATAGATGCTATATTCATGAAAGAAAAGGAAAAGCCTAATTTTTATTACTCAGCCCAATAACTCACAACAAAATCCTGTCTACATATATTGTGCTTAACAGTTTCACAGTGCAGAAGCATTTAAGATGTGATTCCCCGTGACACTTAAAATCTTTTTCCTAAATTATTTATACACTGAACTTTATGCAGTAGAAGTTGGTACACTCAAAATGGCCAGCCTGTCAGCATGAGTCATCTCTTCCTTTTCCAGTTGCCCCTGTGAATCTGCAAGTGTTCCTGTGCTCCCTGCAGGGAGGAAGGACTAAAGCATCTAGACTGTGCTTCTCCTTAATTTAGAGGACCAAAAAGACTGGGATGCACATGAGGACAGCAGCAAGTGGGTACATGGCGGGAATAGGAGCTCATAATATATGTAGCTGCTGGGAGATAAGTTTCCTGCTGGCACAGAAGCTGTAATTTAAATATGGAAACCTCGTGTGGTGCCTGAAGGGGATAAAAACAAAGTACTGTAGGAATATTTTCTGGTGTAAGTGGTTCTGTGACAGGTGTGGCAACTCCAAACTTTCCTGGCATCTGGAAAACTCTGGAGGGTTCTCATTTGTTACTTCAGTAGATGGTAAAGGGTCTTGTGACACTTTAAAGACCAACAAGTTTTACTGGGTATAATATTTGTCTGCTGCAGTTCATACATCAGACCACATAAGCCTTTGGCAATTAAAACGTGGTAGATTGTAAGGCGCCCCAAGACTGCAGGTCCTTCTGCAACAGAGTTTAACACAGCTACTTCTCTGGCACTTACCATTTTATTATGGAGGGATGTAAAATCGTGTCCATTAATATACTTTAATAAAACATTTCTAAAAGGCCTGCATCTAATTTCAGGCAGTGGAGTCTGTGTGACATTTTTTGGAATGTTCCAAGGAAAAACATTAGGAACTCCACATTCTCCTCCTAGTTTTTTGAATCTATCCCGATGAGCTGGCAGGTTCTTTTTCCCTTTCTCATGCTGACCCTTGCTCTCTTAAAGAGAGGGGTATTTTCTGAGTTTTTACTTTCTTATTTTCAGTTTGTTTGTTACTTTGATGTTGGGGTGTTTGCGATTGGTACGAGGGTGGGGTGAGTTTGCTTTACTGTACACCAGAACAGTCCATGGCTGAGAAAAAGGACAAGATGGTGTCACCTCCCACCATTTTTTAAGAAACAAAAACTAGGTTGCAGCACAACTGAACTGGAAGCCTTTCCTCAGATTAGAGCAGTGGTCCCCAAACTTTTCTGAACTGTGGACCTTGGGGGGGGCAGGGCACCCCCTCATGCTCGCGGGTGGGTGGGGTGTGTTCGTGCGGGTGGGCGGGACACGCTCATGCACATGTGTGGATGCACTTGCAGGTGGGGTGGGGCACCTGTGTGGGCGGGCCGTGCGTGCGGATGGGTGGGGGTGCATGTGGATAGGTGTGCGTGCGTGGAGGGGGACGGGTGATCTGTCTCCGCAGCCTGGTCCAGCACTGGGCCAGGAGCAGGAGTTGAAGATCCCTGGATTAGAGAACACACACAAAACAGGCTGTATGGTTTCTGTGGACCTTTTGTGGCTTACTCCATTAATCCTGTTTTGTCATGTATTAGAGCGGTGCCTCGACTTATGAACATCCGGACATACGACCATTTTGATTTACGACCAGCTGCAGCCGCAAAATTTTGCTTCGATTTGCAGCCAGAGCTTCGAGTTATGAACAGAAAAAGGTGGGGAATTAAAATTGCTGACCATTGGTGGTGAAGAGGCTGCTTCTTTGTAGCTCTCTCAACCCAACAGTTAGAGTAAGTGTGATTGGAGTTTGGAATAGGCTTCGGACTGCCTGGTAAGGTAAGGTGCTGCTTTCTACTTTTAAAAAACTGTTCTGGATGGGTTTTGCAGCATGGTTTTGGGCTGGGGTTATGTTTCTGTGCTGTGATGGGTCCTGTAGGGTTTGTTCCCCCCCCATTTCCAATGGATCTTGTGGGGTTTGTTTGCTTTTTGCATTGCTTTTTTTGCATTTCCGAAGGGTCTTGCACAGTTTGTTTACTTTTCTCTCCCCCCCCCCTTTGACCGGAATGGATTAATCACGTTTCCAATGGGTCTTTCAGTTTGTTTGTTTGTTTGTTTGTTTGTTTGTTTGTTTGTTTTTGGTGATTTTTTCTTTGGCAAGAATGGATTAATTGCATTTCAATATATTCCTATGGGAAATGGTGCTTCGACTTATGACCATTTTGAATCACGACTGGATTTCCGGAACCAATTACATTAGTAAGTCAAGGCACTACTGTACTGACAAATTTGGTTGGGCTTGCTTGTGAGGGGGAAGATTTCTATGACTTACCTTTTTTTTTTCTGCAACCCATGTTTGAATTTGTGGGTGGGTTTGAACATGTTTATGAGTAATCGGGTGAGAAAGACCAGATTACCCGTAAACATGTTTGAACTTGCTTATTGGTTCAAATGTAGGTTGCTGAGATAATGTGAAAGGTCATAGAAATCTTCCCCCTACTCATAATTAAGTGGCCTGGGCTGTTTCATTCTGTTCTGGATGGTCTCTGGGCATTAAAGGGCAAGTAATAATACAGTATTGGGAGGGTTTCAGTTCTAAACTGTTGTTCTTAAGTGTCTCTTATATGTTCTAGCATTTTCGGTATCAGTTTCTTTTACACATATACCATTCCAGCCTATACCCTTGCAGCTTTCACATTGCCAGTGGATGGCTTTGCTTAGAAACACCTATTGTGCCCCATACCCACTTGCTTCCACTGTTGTTGTTATGTACCATAAAGTCACCTCTGATTTATGCCAACCTTACGAATGATTTTCAACCTGTCCTGTCCTAATCAGCCCTGGTCAGCTCTTGCAAACTCAAGCTTGTGGCTTCTTTTAGGAAGTCAATCCATCTCATGTTGGGTCTTCCTCTTTTCCTGCTGTCTTCAACCTTTCCCGATATTATTGTCTTTTCCAGAGAATTCTGTATTCTCATGATGTACCCACAGTGGTATGGCTTAAGTTTCAACATTTTGCCTCCAGAGATAGTCAAGGCTTGATTTGATCTAGGACACACTTATTCATCTTTCTGGTGATCGAAAGCTCTCCTTTAGCAGCATATTTGAAATTATTTTTTTCTTGTTACTTTTATTACTCCCCAGTTTTCACACCCATGATCTTGGCCTTGGTATCCTTACACTTGATGATATTTTCTAATTCCTTCATTGCACCCTTCCTAGTCTGTCTTCTGATTTTTGGCTGCAGTCTCCTTTTGGATTGAAGATTGAACCAAGATATACTAAATGTTAACAATTTCAGTTTCTTCATTGTCAATATCCACGTTATATATTTCATCTGTAGTCATGATTTTAGTCTTTTAAATATTCAACTGCAATCCTGCTTTAGTCTTTATTTCTTTTTTTTCACTGAAAGTCATTTCAAGTCATTGCTCCTTTCTGCCAGTAGATGGTGTCATCTGAATAACTTAGAGTATTGATGTTTTTTCCACCCATTTTCACTAATCATTCCTCTGAATCTAGTCCAGCTTTCATATGATCTGTTCTGCATACAGACTGAATAGATAGAAGATAAAATGTACCCTTGTCTGGCACCTTCTCTCCCTCTCTCCATATTCTGCCCAATGGTAGCGTTTTCTTCACAATACAGTATAGGTTATGCATTAGGACAATCAAGTACTGAGACACCCTAATTTCTTTAAGAACACTCCATCGTTTCTCATGATCCACATAGTCCAAGGCTCTGCTGAAGTGTAAAAAGCATAGATTGATCTTCTGAAATTTTTTGTATGCTCCAGGAACCTGTGGATATTTGCAATATGATCTCGAATGCTGCTGCTTTTTCAAAATCCAGCTTGAACATCAGGCATTTCTTGTTCCATATAAGGTAAAGACCTTTGTTGTGACACCTTGTTGCATCACTTTGTTTGCATGGGAAAACTAAAGCAAATATGTTATAGTTACTTAATTCCCTGGCATCTCCTTTATTTGGGATTGGAATATATATTGAATGTTTCCAATCTATGGGGCATTATTTTGATTTCTATATTTGCTGACATATACTTGTTAGGATTTTCACAGATTCAGTTTCTATGGCTTGAAATAGTTCTATTAGTATTCCTTCTGCCCCTAGTATTTCTTCCTAGTGCTTTCAGAGCAGCTTTCACTTCACTTCCTAGAACAGCAGGTTCATCATCATAGGATTCCTTTTCTACTGACCAGAGTTAACCTACAAACAAGCTCTAGTAAGTTTAACTGACAACTAGTCAGAAATCACTGTGTTTGGATTTTGTTTGTTTTTCAAAGAATCATAGAAAAGTGAAGTTGGAAAGGGCCTACAGGGCCATCAGCCAGGTGATTATCTAAGTTTTTCTTGAATACATCCAGTGTTGGAGCATTTACAAACTCCCAAGGTAACTGGTTCCACTGTCGTACTGCTCTAACAGTTGGGAAGTTTTTCCTGATATTCAATTGAAATCTGGCTTCCTTTAACTTGAGCCCATTGTTGCATGTCCTGCACTCTGGGATGATCAAGAACAGATCTTGCCCCTCCTCTGTATGACAGCCTTTCAAATATTTGGAAAGTGCTATCATATGTCCTCTCAGTCTTCTTTTCTCAAGGCTAAACATGCTCAATTCTTTCAGCCTTTCCTCATAAGGCTTGGTTTCCAGCCCCCTGATCATCCTGGTCACTCTCCTCTGAACTTGTTCCAATTTGTTAGCATCTTTCTTGAAGTGGGGTGTCCAGAACTGGACCACAATACTCAAGGTGAAGCCTAACCAGTGCTGAATAGAGGGGGACTAGCACCTCGCAGGATTTGGAGACTATATTTCTATTAATGCAGCCTAAAATAGCATTTGCCTTTTTTGTAGCCACATCACACTATTGGCTTATGTTTAGCTTGTGATCTACGACAATTCCAAGCTCCTTCTCGCTCGTTGTTTTGCTGAGCCATACAGTATCCCCCATATTGTAACTGTGCAATTGGTTTCTTTTTCCAAGGTGGAGTACTTTGCACTTATTCCTGTTGAATTTCATTCTGTTGTTTTCGGCCCAGTGCTCCATACTATCAAGGTCATTTTGAATTTTGTTTCTGTCTTCTAGGCCCTAGAAGACAGAAACTAGTGTATTAGCTATCCACCCAATTTTGGATCATCTGCAAATTTGACAAGCATTCCCTGCACTCCCTCATCCAAGTCATTAATAAATGTATTGAAGAGCACCAGGCCCAGGACTGAGCCTTGGGGTACCTCACTTGTTACCTCCTCCCAGTTGGAGAAGGACCCATTAATCATCACCCTCTGAGTACGATTTTGTAGCCAATTGTGTATCCACCTGACTCTTGATCTATCCAGCCCACACCTAGTTAGCTTGCTAATCAGGATATCATGGGGCAATTTGTCAAGAGCTTTGCTGAAGTCAAGATATACTACGTCTACAGCATCCCTCTATCAGGGAGGTGACCTGATCAAAATAGGAGATCAAATTAATTTGGCAGGATTTGTTCCTGACAAATCTGTGTTGGTCTCTAGTTATTACTGCACTGTTTTCTAGGTGCTTGCGCAATGACCGCATTAAGATTTTTAAGGAAAAGGACATAGGCATTGTTTCTAATTGTGGAAGTGCCATCTTTTCAGTGGGGACAGGTCTGCTGACCTTCTTTCTTTCGCCATTGTGATCATATCTTTATCAGCTTCCCTGCTACTAGATATCCCTACCCAAAGGTGACACCATCCTTGCATCAGATGCTGTCATCTGTTCACAAACGAATCCTAAATAAAGCCATTGTCAATGACAAATTATTTGGAATTGTGCATGGTGTCATTTCTGGGTTTTAATAAATTTGTCCATGAATGTTGCTGAATTCCTGGGCATTTCCCAAATTGACTGTTGCAATATATTCTGTTTCACAGAACCTCTTGTGCTTACTGTCCTACTCACAGCTGAAGCACTAGCTGTACTGTGCCTTGAATGGTAAGCATACTGGCGCTGGCTGTGAGCAAGTCCGGGTAGCACACTCTTCTTAAGAGAGTTTTGTTCATTCACCAGCCAGCTTCACATTGTCTTTAAGGAAGCTTAGCATGCCTCCGAGGTGGTAATTCTAAGAAAGCCCTTTGGAAGTTTGCAACTTCCTGCATTTCCCATCAGTTTCAAGGGGGTTCACAGCATACCCCAAACACCAGCAGAATAAACAACACGTAGCAAACTTTAAGCTGGACAAATGTCACAGCTTCACACTGCATGAACTCCTCTTACATGTGGTGCAGCAAACTGCTTTAAAAGTGGGAATGCACGCAAAAACCATTTCACTTCCTGAGGAAAAAGGGATTTTTCTATACACCCCTTACTCATGGTAACGGCGGGAGATATTTTGCTTTATTAAGTGTGTGTTTGCTTTAATCTGATATTTTGTTTAATTCTGTTTTAATATTGTAACATTGTGTGTTTCAGCTTAACCTGTTTTTTTAATTTACGTTGTCAGCTACCTTGGGTCAAAGGAAGGAAATATGTAAATATAATGGATCAAAGTTGGCATAACAAGTCACTAGTACAGAAAAGGCAGATTATGCTAAGTAATAAAATAAAAAAGTACCGTATTGGTAGTTTTCTCAGTAAATGGATGTGCCTATTTGCTCTTAAGTAGCCACTTCTTTTTTTACCCAGGCGTTTTATGTAAAGACCCATTGCAATCCTAGCTCTTGGGGTTGCTAAAACAACAAGAATTTTAACTGTGTTAATCAAAATAACATATAAAGGCCCAGTTTGTAGTCACCGAGGTCTATTTGTTATCACAGCAATTGGTATCGGCAGAATGGCAGGCATTACACAGTACCAACTGGGTATCCTGCCCAAAGGGTCAGATTTGAAATGGTACTTTATGAGGGACACAGCATTAATCCAAATTGAAAAACATGCAGAAATAAAGCACCAGGAACTGAAGTACACAGAGGATCAAGGAAAAAGATGGTCCACTATTACCAGTATTTCATGTGAAGTGAAGAACCACTTTCCCATCAGTTTGCACTGGGGTTATGAGGACCCTGGCTTTCCACATATCATTCATTCTTGTGCCACTTCAGACTTCTTTCATTATAGTTTAAGTGGGCTGTGGGTTTTAGGGCTCATTTAAAACCTACAAGCTAAGTGGCATGGATACTGATTTGTCAACAAGCAGCAGGCACGCACTCAGTATTTGTACCACACATCCACAAAGATATGTACTTCTGCTTCACACTTCAAGTACCTACTTTTGAAAGATTGGTTTTCACAGCAGTAAACATAAAAGTATAAAACAGAAAATACTGGTGAAAGCAGAGAGCTGTAACTGGCCATAGTGTAGTAATGCTCTTCTGCCAGGTGTGGACAAAGCTATGCCATGATTTGCAAATGATCTTACAGAGCAAGTAATTTAATGTAGCAAATAAATTATCACATGAAGTATCAACCCTTACATTTCCCAATATGACACTCTGCTTTTTTTTGCAGAGCTCCCAGCATTCCAGATGATTAAAATTGGAATCTAGCTTGGTAACCCAAGTGGAAGATTATTTTTAAAAAATTCTTGTTGTGTATCCAGGACAGAAAATAAAATGGTGAAGTTCGTATGCTCTGCATTATGCATATATAGTTATTGCCTAACTCATCCTGTAATAGTTATAATTCTCCATGCAATTTAAATCTCTCATGGGCTTTGTATTACTTTAAATCTTGGGAATCTTTCCCCGCAATTCTACACCATTTTTCAGTAGTGAAGTAATACGTAGAAGCCATTTTCCACCCTATGGCATACTATAAGTAAAAAGGCCACCCATCTCAAGATGGCAGTAAACCAGAATTCTCCTATCCTGCAATGAAGCATCAGCATCAGTTGGTGTAAGGCAGATCCAATCCTGATCAGCAGCAAATTCTCTTCACTTCTTTTTATGTCTGAACATTTGTGTTACAAAAATTCTCAGCCATAGAGTGTGAGCAAAGCTCAGTTGGAAGCACATTACAATTTCCATTTCAATGAAAGGAACTATCGGCAAACCATCCATCATGCAAAGCCAGCCTGATAGACCAAGGATGGGGAGGGAATGGCACTTCAGATGGTGTCTGACTGCAGATCCCATCAGCTGCAGCAAGCTCAGTATATGAAGAAGGATGATGGGGACCCCAGTTCAACATCTGGAGGACCGCAGGCTTCTAACTCTTGGGACATCTTGTCTTCTTTCCACAGTAAAACCTCACAAGACAGTTCCATCGCTTGACATACTTAATACTTTGTATTGCATCTGTACTGCATTTTTAAATAACCCACTGTCTTAGCCATGATAAGTCAGCCAGAAAGCTTTCACACCCCACTTAGGGATCACCCTTTTGCTCAGAAATTGTCGTCGTTTAGTCGTGTCCGACTCTTCGTGACCCCATGGACCAGAGCACACCAGGCCCTCCTATCTTCCACTGCCTCCCATAGTTGTGTCAAATTGCTCAGAAATACCTGAATGCATAATAGCTTGTTTAGGCAAGAGAGGGTTAATAAGTCCCCAAATTCAAAAGAGAAAGGAGGTTGACTCATAGAAGAGATGTTGAACCTTCTGATTCATCTGGAAAGGGTTTTTAGTGCAATCTGAACAATTCAACAACTGAAGGAATATAGAAAGGCAATTGCCTGAACATATTTAAAAGGGAATTTAGTAACATGCTGTGTAGATTGAAAACATTAGGAGGTGAGAAAACATGCTTGAAAGAGCCATGTGAAGCTACATTAAAAGATAGTTCTAGCATACTTAGTTGTATATTATTATGAACATGCCCAGGGGCATCTTTGGTGTCTGGCTCTTTTGTATGAATTGGTTTCCACTCTTCAGACACAGCCAGGTCACCTTATCTCAATCTGTAACCGCCTTCAGACGTTGAGCAGTCCATGAGTTGCATGGGGCATGCTGACAGCTAAGAATAGATCAAGCCAAGTTTGACCAGGCATTCCACCACCCAAGAATACCTACAGAGGGATTACACATCTTATTTGACAGCTGGCAAGCAAATGTCCCTACTACCCCCAGGCAAAGTCCCTTTGGTCCACCTGTCTCTATTCACTGTGTGGATGCACAGACACATGCACATGTACATACACATGATTTTTACAAATGATTTATTGACCCTTCAACAGTTTTGCAACACTCAAAAAAATTAGCTTATGTGCTAGAGGACTATTCCCTATCTTAACATATGGGCTACACCCCCTTGAAAGCTTGTTGCACCGTCCCTCCACTCCCTGTCTTGTATATGATGAGCTCATATAATACTCCCTAGCAAAATAAACCACTGACATACAACTTTTTACAGCTATCCCCCCAAGGGTTACAATTATCATCAAAGTTAAAGGAACATTTAAATAGGTTTAATTTTTGTTTTAAACCATTTATTTAAGCCCTGCCCCGAGACATTTCAAAATATTATCACCTACCATGGTTTGCTCCTGTGCGCTCTCTCTCTCTCTCACACACGCACACACACACAGCGAGAGAGAGAGAGAGATTGTTTCATCATAGCATTCTTATTTAGCAGAGCAGTCCCTTTTATTTCTCTCCATGGGTAGACAATTGTGTGGAAATCCCCCCCACACACACAAACACACACTATGAAAAGAGAGGAGAAATAAAGCAACAAATATATAGGAAGCACTTGATCCTTAGAACAGGAGTGTGTGCACCAGTAGAAGTAGTCAGCTAACAATGAAGAAGGGCCAACACAATGTAACCTTTGTGGCTTGTGCTCCTGAAATAAGAAACTGGAATTGAAACTGTGTCTTCCTCCAGAAGGACCAGTTCTTCAGTGGGACAAAAAACTGCAATACGTGGCTTAGCAATCTTCAGACACCACCACAACTGACAACTTGAAAAGGTGTCGCTTTACTTCATACACATGTGATCCAGTATTTCTGCCAGAATGCACAATTTCGGAAGCTGAGACTGGAAGAGCTGTAACAGAAGCAGCTCCACAAGAGAGCAGTGAGGATCTACTCCCATCAAGAGTTAGCAAGCCCTAAGCCCATTAAATGTGGAGAAACAAATTCAGACACACAGTACCCCAGCTATGGAGCACAGATTCAATCTTGATTCTTTCCCAGGAAGAAGATGGCTGGGCAGGGCCAGAAGAGAGGACATCACAGTCATTTTAGCTCATTAAGAAAGTCCAGGAGTGCTTTGTGGAACTCCTGAGGCTTATCAAGGTAACAGGCATGACCAGCTTGAGGTAGCATAACAACTTTCGATTTGGGGATCTGTTGAAGGCTCTGAAGAGACTGAGTGCCCAGACCAGTGTCACGCTCTCCATAGATGATCAGAGTCGGTATCTAGAGAAATCAAAACATCAACACATCACCAGTCTTCTAAAAGGCTTGTGCGAGTGCGCATGGCATAAGAAATCCATTCTCCCCAGCAGTGCTGCTAAGAAAATGCTATTCTTTTCAGTGGAACCAGAGGGCATTTTTGGAAGCCTCAATTAAAATATATTGATAACATTTCTGAATTTCTTTTCCATGTGGTAGAAGCACTTGAGCCAATAGATAAAAACTCACATATACATTTAGAACAAAATAACAAAAAATAAGATTGCAACAAAAATTGCAATAAATCTGGTGGTAAAAAGGGAACCAATACAGGTGAAGTCCTCTTGGGAGCTGCAGGGTGAGGGTCCTTAATTGTACAGATATGCTGACTCCCCAGTTTTGGTTCTGATGTTAGGGAAGGGCAGAATATAAAGCCCTACAAGGCCTGTTACATACCCTTGCTTCATGTTATCTGTCTGTAGAAGTCTATGGAATGTCTAGATTGACAGAACAACCAAAACTATCTTATGGTTGGATCAACAGGTCTTAATGCCACCAAATTATTTTTTTCAGAGGTTATTAGTTTTCCTATCTTTACGTTACTTCCTTCAAGATCTGCTCTTCCACCTTGTTCTGCCTTGCAACATGTATCAAATATATCATGGGACTATATCCCATGATGCAACCATGTACTTGTTGCCAAGAAGCAGGAGGAAAGCAGCCTAGAGAGTATAAGGAAATCCTGTATAAGGAAATCCAGTATAAGGAAATCCTGGAAACAGCACGCTACCAAAAGAAATACATGAGCATAAACTAAAATGATTGTGAGATTGTGTTAGCAGTGAGTGCAAGTTTGCAAAATTACTGCTGTAACAGACTTAAACATATGTGGCACATAGACATAAACAATACATGCAATGAACAGGTAAATCAATGCATTTGAGGGAACCGCTCATTTCTTCTCTACTTATCTGCAAAGATGTTCCTCCTAGAGTTAAGCAAACAAAACAGTCTTACATGCATTTCTATACTTGAAGACGTTTCCTCAACAAGGTGTATTCTATACAATGGTGCCCCGCATAGTGACGATAATCCGTTCCAAAAAAATCATCGCTATGTGGATTCCGCGCTATGCGGGGCAAAAAAGCCCATAGGAACGCATTAAAACACGTTTAATGCGTTCCTATGGGATGTAAACTCACCGCTATGCGGAAATCTTCCATGCGGCTGCCATTTTTGCTGCCCGGTAAGCGAAGAAAGGGCGCGAAAACGCTGTGGGTGGCCATTTTAATTACCCGGCGGCCATTTTGGAACCACCGATCAGCTGTTCCCAAAGCATCGCTATGCGAAAATCGGTAAGTGAAACACTTACCGATCATCGCAAAGCGATGTTTTCCCATTAAAAACATCGCTATGTGATCGCAAAAAACACATCGCTAAGATTTGTTATTAAACGAATCGCTAGTTATGCGGGGCACCACTGTACTTTGTACAATTTGGGCTTTAAATTCAAGCAAAACAAGTAAAAGACAGAATCACATGAGGAGAAATCAGAGAGCGTACCATTGTGCAGAAATAAAGAAAGTAGAAAACAGAAGTCTTGACATTATCCCCTGGCTACAATAAAGTCTGCTTAATTGCATCTAACCTCTGACTCTTTCTTAAGCACAAACTACTGATTCTTAAAAAGTAAAGACTGACATTCTGAGCATACCAAATTTCAAGCCAGATGCCATATTCTGCACCTGCTGTTTACACAGATTATTCATTCTACACAGGTCCATACACAGGACAACTGTGGGTGATGATGACTCCTCTCCTTTGAGGTCTCCACTGGGATCATGACTAGATGTATCTCTGGTATCTCTTCTAAATGAGCTCTAGACTATAATCTCAGACACCATTCCAAAGTTCCTGACATCCCTTACCTTGACCTGCTGGTACTGTTGACTTGTGAATTCCTTGGTGCCCACTGGTGCAATGGGTACAAACCCTTTCAGCTGTTCCCCACTGGACAAGAGAAATGGAAGGGAATAGCGGCCACTCATGGAGGAGCTTATCAAAACAGGCTTCTGAAGGCTTAGCTCCTTGAAGATTTGCTGTAGGAAGGAAACACGACCTGAGGCTGTCTCAACAGCACTGGAGGGTGGGGAGTCCCCATAGCCTGTGGAAACATATTGAACTGGGATAACTCGATTGCCAGGGCATATGCAACAAAATTAAGGACACACTGATTGAGAACTTTCACTAGATTCTGGCTGTTAATATGACCTATCAACCTGTATTTCCAAAAGAAAAGAACTATGCTTTGAACACAAGTTCATGCCACTCCTGTCTCTTTTGCCACACAATTACATGGAAAAGCTTGCTTTGCCACATTCAGGCTGCTTCTCCAAAGGAAAGATAAAACTAGGATAGTTTCCCCCCACCCATTTTTTTTGAGCCACAGGTCACTCAGAAGAGCATGGCAGAGCCAAAATTCATCTGACAAGCATAAAGAGCGCTTTGCAGTTCATTTACGTCCTCTAGAATGAATATGGCAACTGAGTCATGCATGTGTTTCTGACCACAGCTAAATAAGGATTTTACAATGTGATCTTAAACAAGCCTCTCTCTCTCTCAAAAATATGACAATAAAATTAAAGGCTACCAATCAGTCTTCCCCAACCAAGGTCCTCCAGGTTTTTTTGGATTCCAGTTCCCATCAACCCCACCCAGTGGATGAAAACCTATAGTGCTGTTATGCAAAAGGCATAACTTTTGTAGGCAAGTTGCCTCAAGTTAGGAAATCTCCATAGGCATTATCCGTTATACACCGAATTGCATGCAGCAGGTAATGTCTATGAATATTTCTTACCTTGAGGCATTCAACTTCAATAGCTATGTGCTGTGCACAGAAACACGACTGGATTTCAGCCACTATGTCCCGCGGTCAGGAAAGATGGGGGCTGTAGTCAAAAACACAGGAATGCTGAACTGAATGTGTATGAATACTGTATGCATTCCAAGTAATACTGCGATCTGAGAAAGGAAGGTGAACCAGGATTATGTGGAAAAAGTCACCGGTCACTCTAGTAAGACTGAGGCTAGGCAAATACCACGCAGCTGAGTTGAGCTTCTATGAAGAAAGGCTGGTGACTGTACCAGAGGCAGAACATTCAAGAAAGCAAACTATGTTACTATCCCAATTTACTTTTCAACTGCACATGTTAGCCATGCCCTCTGGCTTCCTCCTGCATAGCTCCAGCAATCTGGGTCAAATTACACTGGTCTAGTAAGATTGAGGCTAGGCAAATACCACGCAGCTGAGTTGAGCTTCTATGAAGAAAGGTTGGTGACTGTACCAGAGGCAGAACATTCAAGAAAGCAAACTATGTTACTATCCCAATTTACTTTTCAACTGCACATGTTAGCCATGCCCTCTGGCTTCCTCCTGCATAGCTCCAGCAATCTGGGTCAAATTACACTGGTTGGCATTAGAGCACCTTCTAACACATACTCCACTGGTTGTCAGCAATTAACAGCTACCTTGCACGGAAAGACGAGCCAAACTTTTCTAAGCTAGTTCCCCCTCATCTCCAAGGCAATCTGTAACTACAGCAAAGAATCCCAGTGTAGAGACTGAGCACCACTCATTAATGTGAACAGTGTTCTTTGCAAGAGGGAAGGGTGGTGCGGTACTTTATTGTGCTGCTCATCACTGCCTGCAAAGATCACAGCATTCTGCAACAAATGATTAGATCAGTGGCAGAGGACATATAACCCAGGAGTTCTCACATCTGGATACCAGATTACAAGAGTATTTTACCCTTGATATTTCAGCTGCTTTTCTCCATGTAAATACTGAACCACTGGCAGAGTTTTTCTTGAGTTGGCATTCACTTCAAGGAGGAGAGGAAAGACTTACTTGTAGCTCAGCTGTGCAGGAACAATTTCCCAATCAGGGCTAACATCCTGGTCCTTTCACTTTTGCTCACTGCGTCAACTACAAACTACAACTACAAACTAGCTGCCAGCTAAACATATTTAGAATTTTGTATAGTTCTTCCTGCTTGTCAGATCACAAGAACACATAAAGCACACAATATAAATGCAAAGTCTACTTGGTGGGTCTGCAGCTTATACTTACCTGGCAAGTCGACAGCTACTGCACGATATCCACTTTCACAAAGTAAAGCCAGTGTCCCCAATTCCTCCCATGTCTTAGAAGTGAAGGATTGGCCATGTAGGAAGATCACAGACAGCCTGTTAAGAAAAACAAAGATTTGCAGAAATGGTGGGAAATTCTAGAGTTTTGTTAGACAAACAAAAATGGATGATTTCCCCCCTCTGTCCAAAAGCAGGGCTAGCTTGGATTAGGAATGGAAGTGATGTAGATTTGCTGTGCAATAGAGTAGAGCAGACGAGCCCTTCAAAGTTCATGAGAAGCACCCAGCCTAGAATGGAGTGGGAAAGTATCTGGTAGTTCAGATGTTTCCAACTATAACCCCTGCTATTTCTTGCCATCGGCAACGCTGGCTCGAGCTTTTGAATATATGGAAGACCAAAGGTCCCTTATCCTCGCTGAGAACAACATGAAAATAGTGAACAAAGAAAGGATTCAGACAGTGCCATAGAATGTTGCAAAGATGAAGACACTCTGACATGTCAGATTTTTCTTTCCCAGTTTTAATAAGGCTATACAAGCATTCACACAGTAGCAGTGTATCAGAAAGCACACTGGTCTTCTAAGACAAAAAAGTAAATATTAAATGGTATGTGTATTGTTGCCCACAATGTCATAAAACTTACCAACATGAACTTATGCAACCTTTGCAACACTCCACAATCTACAAACATATACAGTACAGGACTCTCAACTGCAAACCACTGCTAATTGGAACAACAAAAATACAGTGGTGCCTCAACTTATGTTGGTGGCGAAGAGGCTTCTTCTTTGTAGCTCTTTCACCCCAGCAGTTAGAGAGTGTGTGATTGGAGGAGGCTTCGGACTGCCTGGTAAGGCTACTGTGCTTTCTACTTTAAAAAAACTGTTCTGGGTGGGTTTTGCAGTGTGGTTTTGGGCTGGGTGGTGGGATTGTTTCTATGCTGTGATGGGTCCTTGCACGTCTTGTTTGTTTTTTGGGTTTGGTTTTTCCCATTTCCAATGTGTCTTGCACTCTCTGTTTACTTTTTGCTTTTCTTTTTTTGCATTTCCAATGGGTCTTGCACTCTGTTTGCTTCTTGGTTTTTTTTGGGGGGGGGGGTTGCATTTCCAATGGGTCTTGCAGGGTTTGTTTGCTTTTTGGTTTTCTTTTTTTGCATTTTCAATGGGTCTTGCAGTGTTTGTTTGCTGTTTGGGTTTTTTTCTCCCCTTTAGCTGGAACGGATCAATCGCAATTCCAATGAGTCTTGCAATGTTTGTTTGCTTTTCTGTCCGTCCCCCCTTCGGCCAGAACGGATTAATTGCATTCCAGTGCATTCCTATGGGAAATGGTGCTTCGACGTACGACCGGAGTTCCGGAACCAATTAAGTAAGTTGAGGCACCACTGTAAGAACCTCAGTGATTACTTACAGCTACAGAAACAAGACTTCTTTGCAACATGTGTTTGCTGGAAAAGAGCTATTTGGACCTTGTATAATAAATGACCAGCAACTATACAATTGCTGCACAATAAAACTATTGCAGTGGTGCCTCGCTTAACGAGCGCACCGTTTAACGACGAATCCGCATAGCGACGCATTTTGCGATCGAAAAACCGATTGCATTGTGATGTTCTGAATAGGGTAACCATCGCATTGTGATGATTGGTAAGCGTTTCGCTTACCGATCTTTGCACTGTGATGTTTTGGAGCAGCTGATCGGCGGTTCCAAAATGGCCGCCGGAAGAAGAAAATGGCTGCCCGCATCATTTTCGCGCCGATTCCTCGCTTACCGAGGTGGCGAAAATGGCAGCTGGATTGAGGATTCCCGCTTAGCTGTGAGTTTTATCCCCATAGGAATGCATTAAATGGAGTTTAATGCGTTCCCATGGGGTTTCCCCCCCACATAGCGACGTTTCCGGATAACGATGTTTTTCCTGGAACGGATTAACGTCGCTATGCAGGGCACCACTGCATCTGCAAAATCAACAGGTTAGTAGGAAAAAAGTTATCCCCATCAGCAGAACTCAAGAGCATCCTCCTCCTATGTTAATTTTTTACGCATTTTAGAAGGAATCTACATCTCTTAGAAGATCTGTGTAGGGACTAAACCTAAGACACAAATACAGTTAACCACAGTAATTGATACAATTTGTCTTGCAGAAATATAAAATAACAGAATTAACAAAATGTATTTATCCTCCCAGACTGAGAAATCGATTGTAACAAAAGAATCATTTGGGAAAAACACAGCAGTTATTCAAGGATTCATTTTGAAGAACCAGGGCAATAGTCATGGGAAGCGTTACCCAAATAGCTTTATTTCAAAGGTGACAACTGCACTAGTTTAACAGAGACTATTTAGTAGTAACCAATGAGGAGGTGTCTTAAATTCAAAGTCATTTCAAACATCTCCACAATAGCAGTTACTATGGGAAGCCTCACTGGCACCACAACAGAGGTAACAGTGTTGTAGACTGCCTGTGTGGAGAGGCCGCTGTGTGGATTGTTTACTAGTTAAAACGATTAGGAATTGAGAGGGCAACTTACCTTTCAGGGGAAGGAGCCCCATCTTTTTGTGCCAAGACAGCTTCTCTAAAGAAAACAGAGGGGTCTTGCAGGACTGTCCCAGTCATGATTGTGACATTGCCAACGCCTGGACCCTTCTTCGCCTCTTCTTCCATAGCCCGTGGCTTGGGGATGTCTACAGAGGAGGTAAACCTCTCGTGCTGGATGGCAGGAAGCAACAGGTAGAGGACAAAGGTGACGAGGACGCCTAGGACCAGCAGCCCCAGCCTGTTGCGGATCAAAGCCATAGTCATCCTTTCTGAAAAGAGTTGGGAAGAAAGAGGGAAGAAAGGGAGAAACAGATGGCTGGGGCCACTGAGCAAAATAACAGAACTGAACTGCAGCCTCTGTCTCTACTGTCTCTACTAGACCTTCTAATGCAAGGCTAAACTTGACCACTTGGTTTTCAAAGGGCTGCACAGTTTTCCAGAAAAGGTGGCAGCATCCCAAAGATCTTAATGTATAAAGAAATGCCACATACTGTATGACAGGAATGTTTTTGTTCGTAATTTTTTTCCTCTCATCTGGGAGTGATCTAGTGCTAAACTCATTATAAATATTAGTGATAAGGTGATACAGCACTAATCTCATACGTAAAAAACAAAAGAAACATGAAGGAAAATCAGGGAAAAGCGCAGAAGGGGAAGGTGTTCCTTTAGTCCTCAACATCACACTCCAACTGCCTACGTCACCAAACATTACCTAAAGACGCACAACCATCTTTACAAGAGTGAATCAACTGATCACATGGAAAAAAAAGTCTGTCTGAATTGTCCTGACCTGAAAAAAGCAGCAGGCCCAGCAGCTGAGGAAACAAGTTGCATTGGGAGCTAAATGAGCCAGTGATTCAAATCAACCTTTGTGTTGTGTGAGCACCAAAAAATACTTAAAATTGACCCATACTATAATTACAGCAAATTTGATTGTGCATTCACAGCCTAATTTGGCTCTCAACCTCGCGAGACTATTTTCAGATGTACATTGTTATCAATAATTAATTTAAAAATCATAATATTTTGGTTGAATTCTACTTCCATGATCACCTCTTAATCTATAGTCATTATACATAAGAATCTTTTAAAAATGTTACATTAAGGTGGGATATAATGTAAACAAGCAAGCAAATTAATTAACAGCTCAAAAGCTGAAACAAAATTTTCAGCTGCATCACTAACATAATTGTCATCTTAGAACCAGAGAGCTGGAAAGGGTACTATAGATCATTAAGTCCAGCCTGTCAAGGAGACACAATGGGGAAACATTTTGCAGGGTTCAACTCCTTTAGCTATACGTATCTAAAAATATATTGTTCTTATGACAGAAAAAAACACACAAGTTGATCCAAAAATAGCAGTCTATATACTGAAAAGGTATTAGTAAAGAAAGTGCATTTCACTTTCAGAGGCAATGGGAAGATTTTTGTATTATACCCAAGGGCACCAGCTACCAGAACCCATGCAAAAACTGCTGACCAAGGAAACAATTCCTGTACTGCAGATCTTTGTGCTTACTAGAAAATAAATTCAGTATCCAATACCTGAGGGTGTCTTAAGTAAACATTTAGGTTCAGAACTGATCTAAACCTCACATACATCATGTCCTTTACCTATCTTTGCACAGACAAAGATGTTCAGATGGTTTAGGAGCCATCATTCAATTTTTTAAATGGCAGAAGTGATTCTCCCACCTTTCTACAATGTCATGCAGGAATCAGAATAAAATGATTTTATCACATCATTGACACTAGAGAAAAATATTTATTTCAAGATCTTCTGGACAAACAAATCATACATTCAAATCAGAGGTTGTTTACATGTGTCCTTTAATTAGCCCTTTGTCTAGAACAGGGGTCTCAAACATGTGGCTAATTAGCCCTTTGTCTTTCTAGAATGACACTGACAGCTGTTTGGGCTGAAGAGCCTCGCAGTGCAGTGGTTAAAATCTAGAATGACACTGACAGCTGTTTGTGCTGAAGAGCCTCGCAGTGCAGTGGTTAAACTGCAGTACTGCAGCCAAAACTCCGCTCACATCCTGGGTTCAATCCCAGGTAGCTGTCTCAAGCTTCACTCAGTATTCCATTCTTCCGAAAACGGTAAACTGGGTACCCAGCTTGCTGGGGGTGGGGGGAGAGTGTGTAGCCTGGATAATTAAATTGTAAACTGTCCAGAGAGTGCTTTGATCTCTATGGGGTGTTATATAATCAGCACACTTTGCTTTTTTCCTTTACTGTGGCACAATGACAAAAGCAAAGAGGCTGAGAGCTTTGCAAAGGAGGGTTTTTAAAAGTCTAATATTCTGATACTTTGCCTATCGCGCGTGCATGCACACGCACCTGTGGGCCCCCCCGCCCAGTTGTTTAATTTTGTGGGTACCAGTGGGGACTTTTCTCCTTTGGCAAGGCGAATTCTGTGAGGTTTCTTTTTAAAATTTTATGTTGTGCCTTCCTCCCCCTGGCTGGGTGGTCACAGCGCTCCCTCCCTTCTCTGCTTCTTCGTCCTGCTGGTGGTGGTAGTAGTGAAGAAGGAGCTGGAGGGGGTTGAGGCTGGCGATGAGGGCTCGCCCACCCCTCCTCCTCCTCCAAGCCCCAGCTGGGCTAAGGAAACTCCTGGGCAGCTTCCTCAGGCTCTTGCTCCGCTTGGCGGAAAATCCGATGTGGCCCAGCCTCACCCAGACTCTGCTTCCAGCGGCCCCCAGGTAAATTGACTTTGAGACCCCTGATCTAGAATGACACTGACAGCTGTTTGGGCTGAAGAGCCTCGCAGTGCAGTGGTTAAACTGCAGTACTGCAGCCAAAACTCCGCTCACATCCTGGGTTCAATCCCAGGTAGCCGTCTCAAGCTTCACTCAGCATTCCATTCTTCCGAAAACGGTAAACTGGGTACCCAGCTTGCTGGGGGGGGGATTGTGTAGCCTGCATAATTAACTTGTACACCGCCCAGGGAGTGCTTGAATCTCTATGGGGTGTTATATAATCAGCACACTTTGCTTTTTTCCTTTACTGTGGCACAATGACAAAAGCAAAGAGGCTGATAGCTTTGCAAAGGAGGGTTTTTAAAAGTCTAATATTCTGATACTTTGCCTATACAGAGGTGATACAGATGTTTCAAAAATCTTTCAATGAACTGAAAAATGCCACAAGTGGGTTAAATTATCATAGGTGCCAAAGGGGTACGTGTGTATTCTTCTGCAATCTTGGATCTCTCTACACGCACACCTTTCCCAACCCTATGCCATCCAGATGTGTTGGACTACATCTCCCATTATTTTCAGACAAGATGTGCCATAGTATCCAGTCAGCTACAAATGAATGTTTCTCCTTCCCATGCAGAGTCAGTATGAAATGGTAGCTTAGACTGGGCTATGCACATGCAATTACAAAGAAGCAATGCATCTCTTCCACTACAGGTGCTCACTTCAGAATTAGTGGTTACAGTGTCATCGAAGCTACCAACATAAATTTGACCCAACTCCAGGAGGCAGTGGAAGACAGGAGGGCCTGGCGTGCTCTGGTCCATGGGGTCACGAAGAGTCAGACACGACTAAACAACAAAAACAACAACAGGAGCAAACACTTTTTCTATTCTTAAATTCGTAACAATGCATGAGAGACCGGTGGAAAATGGAAAGGGTCTACAGGCAGGACACAAACATAACAGACTTCAACATCCTCATTAGCTATGGATTTAGAGAAGTTCAGACCCTAAACAAGGCTGGAGTCCCAAAAACTAGGAGATTAAAAAAGCAATTAGGAAAATGCCATATAAGCAGGAAATTCAAGGTAGACTGAGAAGACAACCTTATAAACCAAGAACACATGCTAAGTGATCTCATCTCCATTTATAGCAGCCCTTTCAGTTCCATTATACAACACCATAAGAGGAAGCCACACAGAGACAGGCAGAGGAGACACCAGATGGCTATTGTTTCAACAAGGTTTGAAAAAACTCTGCACTTCCCTAGGCTAGTGGGCTGATACAGGGATGCCCTGGTGACAAGTCTAGCAGGGGCTAGGAGTGACCAAGTACCAGACTCATTACCTTCAACTGAATGACTCCCTGATTTAATAGTAAAACACTAATGAATGTACACCCTGAGAGTTGGTATCATACATACATTATGTTTGTGTGTTCTGTGCTGTCAAGTCAGAACTGACTTATAGTGCCCCTAAGAGATGTTCCGCTCCAGTTCCAATCCCCCAAACAGTTTCCATGGCTGAGTGGGGATCTGAACCCTGTTCTCCAGAGTCCTACTCCATCATTCTATCCACTACACCAACACTGGGAATCTGTATACCTCTCTTCCAGGTGCTTCTCAATGCATATATACATTATAGCATATATACATTACAGCGCTATTACAGCATAAAAGGTAGCTGTCTTTAGGGAAAGAACAGTCACCTTTGTTTATTGAACAAAGATAAGTAAAGAAATACTAGGAGAAATTAGTTATCCCACTGGATAGCCCAAGCCACTGTACATGTCATTCAATAAAGGCTACCCAAAGGAACTAGTTACCTCTTATTACACCTGCTACAAACCACCATCCTTTAACCAAAAGGACAACAGACAGATGGCTTAAGCTGTGCTTCATAACTGTATGAAAAAACCAAAATTCATAAAATGAATGATGGCGATTTCCTGCCTTCAGTGTATTCCACAAGAAGGGCTCTTTCTTTCCTTTTAGCAACTACCTTGTCAAATTCTATCCAGCAGTACAACCACAGGAATGTTGTCTCTGAAGATGTAGTGCATGTAGGTTGGTGCACAACCTTGAATTTGGCATACATATGTCTGGGCACCTTCGTTCAAGAACTGTTTCTTGAAAACAATGAAATGCTTTTGACAGACATATGTGGCTGGGCTGAGATCAGGAAAGAAGGATACCTTATGTCGGTGGACTCTGTTGTCCAGGAAGCCTGCAGTGCCTTCAAGATCTTCTCCCATCAGGAAGAATGATTAGCACAGTGCTGCCACAACCCTCTCCAGTATTCTTTGCTGGGAGATAGTAGACACTTTCTAAAGAGATGGGAACCTCTTTGCCTTTTAAGTCCAAGGCAGCTAATACCAGATTTTCTATGAAATGGGATGAGGTGGATATATCTGACAACAGCTGGAAGCCCTGGGACCTGCACGTTCTGAGCTTGCACTTTGTTTTCAAGCCTCTCCGGCCTATGTTTGGGCCACCAGGCACCCCACTGCCAGCTGCTTTATCAAAACCAAGTGATTCATCACATAGCCCGGGTGGCCAGCAGCTTAGCTTCTACTCAGTGATCTGTGTCTTCAGCCACATCGCAAGCCTTTCCAGTCCAGCAGAGAAAGAAGCCAAGCTTGGCCTATGGTAGGTGTTCTGTTCAGATATTATCAATTCCAAAAGCCCTTGTACTGAACTTGCCACTGCTGGAGAGAAGGGTGCACCACAGACTCTTCCACACGCTGTCAGAAGTATTGTGCTTTTGTCTTTGGATATCTCTAAGCCATTGGCTGACTCCCTTTTAGGAAAAAGGAAGCATTAATGCCTTCTCAGGTGAAGACACAATTTCCGCTGAGGAAAGCTCACAGCAACACCCTGCTCCTGCCTGTCTTAAGTGGAACAGGCCACACCTTGTTTACAGGCCTCTCTCTCTCCTCCTTGTTACCTTTTTCTTATTGCATACACAGGTCTTTTCTTGCCTTTCTCCAGCACCTCTCGTGGCACAGGTGGGGCAGGTATTGTTGAAGGAAGTGGAACAATGCGAAACCCTTTGCTGGCTGTTTTGCACAGAGGTTGAGGGTGACCTATAATTATCATTCACTGCAGCACACCCACACTCATCTTCCAGATCCACACATTATACATAGCATGGTCTTCTTGCTTTCTGTTCCAGCAACAACAGGTGTTCACAGATGCTACAGGCAAGAAATTGAAAGGGTTATTCACCACATCTCACCACACCCTTGCTTTTGGAATCCTATTTCAAATGTAATACATACAGCTTCCTTGAATAAAAACACAAGTTAACTTGACACCTTTTCATAATCATTGGTTCAGGATTAGGGTGCCAATCAATATTTCACAGATGCTTCTAGACAATGCTTTTACTAGGTAACTACAATGGCTCACTCACGGAATTCTGTGGAACACTCTTCAGTTTATTTTCCAGGACGTAGCCCTAAACCCAAAATACAAACTATAAATAAAGGACTGGGGTGGGGGGATGGGGGGGAAGGTTTGCTATGGTTTGAGTCTTGCTCTGTGGTCTCACACATTTAAAAAATTAGGCCTCTCTCTTTAACCTAGATGTGGAACACGCCTCACTCAAAGTGAGGGTAAAGATGCTTCACCCCCCCAAAATTTCAGGGCCACCTATACAAGGAGGAATGATGGGAGTGGGAGTTCCAACATCTGGAGGGTCACACCACCATTCCCCATTACTGCTCTAAACGTTGGTGACACCCCCCCCAATAATAATAATAATAATAATAATAATAATAACTCCTTAAGAATGGAGAGGTGTATCTCTAGAAGACTGCCCACAAAGTGATAAACTGGCCAGAGTAACTATGGATCTAAGAATGGTGTGAAAGTGATCTGCAGTAGTGAAAGGATTACCTGTACTGAGAAAATTGTGCTTCTTCAAAATATCTATGGTACCGGACCCACATATTTGCCGCCGCCGCCGCCCGAAGTGGGAGAGAGAGAGCAATCGCCCTTAGGCCAAAGGCGCGCCCGAGCCCGAGCGCCCCGCTTCCCCTCCCCAGCCAATGGGCGACGCCCTCCTTCAGCCAGCCAGTGACTTTGCAGGCAAGCGCGGACGCCCCGCTCGAGCAGCAAAACGCTCCTCCCCGCCAAGGGCCGAGCGGCTGGCTGGCTGGCTGGCCGGCAGTACCTGCACTTCGCAACCTCGGCGGCCTCACCAGCAACAGCTGTATCCTCTGCACCGCCCTCCCCACTCCGACCCGGCGGCCCGTCAAGCGGGCTGCGTCACGCTCTGAGCCCCGCCCCTCTTTCCTGCCCCCGCGACCCGCCTCTCCGCCCGCCTCCAGTCGTCGGGCCCCACCTAGCGGCCGACGGGGGAAACTGCACCTGTCTCCCAGGGAAACGCGGGACGGACGCGTGGTTGAAAATGCCCTCGGAACTCGGGTAGTTAGTTGGAAGGGCGAGTCCGGAGAGCCTTGGCTGAGGACAAAGTCAGGGTTCAGGAATTTTACCAGAAGTTCACTAATGGCAGACCATTGGAAGCTCGCTCGCTTCTGATTCTTTCCTTCTAATGAGGAAGTTGTGTTCTTCTCTTTACTTAGTAATTATCTTTGTCTCTTGCACTCCGGACTCAGAACAGCCCTCCGTCTGGAGGCGTTACTTTGGGACAGTACAGCTCCCCTAAACAGGACACGTGGAGTCCCATATTTATGTCTTACTTATTTATTACTTTAATTTGTATATCACTCCCGTCAGTGCCCAAACCCTGGGCGATTTACAATAAAGCACACAATCAACAAAGTGATATGTACAATAAAAGCAGTTGTAACGTTTCCATGCTGTGGGAACTCCAGGCCCTTCTTCCTACTCTTCACCACAATTTTGTAAAGTGTGGGTCAAGGTGACACACTGTGACTGAGGCCATCCTCGGGATATTTCACAGGTCAAGGAGGACTGGACCCTGGTTGTGCCCAGGCCAGCACTTGAACACTTCACTGACCCTTTAAAAGGCGCACACTCTGTCAAGGGGACACAATGAAGTGACTTAACAGAACTGGCCAGCATCTACAGTCACTCCTATCTTAAACAGAGTGTTATGACCACCTCAGTCAGGTAATATCCACTAAAAATTTGTTTTAATGTGTATGCATCATTAACATCTAAAATGACATTCTTACTCCTGAATCAACAACAGGGAAATGAGCAAGAGTAAAACTGAGTCATCACCTGGGGTGTGAAGATGTTTAAATTACTGAGCAATATGTGTGTGGAGCCCGAACCTCGGGTCAAGAAGTGTTGTTGGGAGTGCCATCCCACCCCAAGGCGAACGTAGGCACGCAAACGGCTCCTCCACCTTTTCTACCCAGATTAATACACCAGGCTGTGGACACTACTGACTTGGAAAGGGGCATGAAAGGGTTATCAGTAGCAGCACATACGACTCAGGTTTGGGCAGGAAAGGGGGGGGAGGGGAGAGCCGGAGGAGGCAGCAGCAGGGGAGTTGGTCAGTTCCCCCGGAGATGTGATCCCGGGTGGATGGGAATGGGTGTCGATGCAGGACCCATGGACTGTAACTGGGAGCGGGTTCGGGTACCTAAGAAAGAGGCTCAAGAGAGGAGAAAGAGAGGAATGACCCCCCCATCCCTCATACTGGGGAGAAACCAAGACCCGAGAGTGGAGACGAAAGATAAGGGAAGAAAAGAAGAGACTAGAGAGAGAAAGGGAGGAGAAGAAAGCATGGCATATGGAGGAACTGAGAAGGATGGGGTACTACCTGGACCCTGGGAGTCCCCGGGTGATGAGAGATATGTTCCCTGGGGATATACAGGGGACGAAGAAACCACCCCGTTACTGATGTCCCATCCAAATGACAGCGAACCCAGAGAACCCTCACGGGTTCAGGCTGGTCCATGGGTTTCGAGGTCAAGTAACCCGTGTGAAGATTGGTTACCCCTGTCAGAGCCGTTGCTCCCTCAGGAGAAGTTTGTTCCTCATTTACTGGACGTTTCCATACCCATACCCCAGTTAATAAAAGAAGACAAGTTCTCTGGTTATAAAACGTCTCCTGGTTTATTTGGTTCGGGGCAGGCAAAGATGAGTGAACCCTCACAATGTGTTCTAGATTCATCACAATCTAATCCACCCTCTTGGCTGCCTTTCCGATATTCTGGTGAGCAATGGAGTTCAAATCACAGAAGAAGGTGCAGGCGTCCACTAAAGGTCTCCTGCTGAAGTTGGGCAGGGGAACAATAAAACTTGTATCTGGAGCCCCATACAAACATGAAGCCTTATCAGATGGTAGCCCCCTTTCCCTCCAAATACTTACAGACCAGTGACTCCCAAATTTGGGTTCCTAGATAGTCTTGGACTACAACCCCCAGAAGCCTTCACTACCAATTGTACTGACAAGGGCTTCTGGGAGTTGCAGTCCAAGAATATCTGGGCACCCAAAGTTGGAAACCATTGCTATATAGAGAAAAGTTTTGGTATGGGGATGAAGATATTTGAGTAGATTGCTAAACTTTTATAGGTCCAGAAGGAGCATGCCACGTGGATTTAATTCAGTAGTATGGTCTGCGTCTGTGCATGGTCAATGGGGTTATGTGTCCCTCTCAGTTGTACAGTCTTGGTAAACAGCACAGTCCCAGAGCACCATCAGAAGGAGAGACTGGTCGATGACTTTTAAACATTTGCTGCCTAAAATTAATTAATTAATTAATTAATTAATTAATTAATTAATTAATTAATTAATTAATTAATTAATTAATTAATTAATTAATTAATTAATTAATTAATTAATTAATTAATTAATTAATTAATTAATTAATTAATTAATTAATTAATT